ATCATACATTGGAAAATCATAATGATATCGATTCAAGAATCTAGAAGATCGCTCAGTCAATAGGAAAACTTTACTTTTGGGATCTGAAGACCCACTAAGTCACATTTAACACTAGGAAGACTGGAATTTTGTATATACCTATATTGCCTAAAATCGGTTAAAATGATCTCATTCTGAAAGAATTTTTATTGTGTAAAGTAATTTTTGTAAACTTATTTTTTTAATATTTTGTACATTATTTACAATCATACAAAACGTTGTTACTATTTGTTTTCGGTGGGAGGGCTCTCAAGTTTCCCTTTTTCAAAAAATAAGAGCGCGGACTAAATGTTCGAAAAAGAGTAAGTGTTTACTCTAAGAGTGAAATCGACTGGATATATACAATTTATTTTCCTCGATTTGTGTGTTCGTTCGGGTTTCGATGTTGTACTGATCTGGTCATATAAGAAATTTACTTTATCTATATATAAAATAGAAAAAAAATTTGTTTGTTTGTATGTTACCGATAGACGCCGAAACCGCTGAACAGATCATAATGAGATTTACACTGTATGTCGGGGCATGCCCTGAAAGTAACATAGTCTATATAAACTTTTAAAATTCCGCGTGGATGCGGAGTTATAGCATCAATAGTAAACATACCTCAAATTTTCTGAACATGTTAGATGCGTTTATCTTAAGAACGGTTACAGATAACGCCTTCAAAATTTATCTGTATATCGTAGGTGTGAATACACATTATTCATACAAATATGAGCGAGATAAGATCGGTGGAACTGCACTCTCCGTTACACATAAATAATCTACATGTAGAAAATTAAAAATGTTTTGTTTCTAGACTCAAAACCCGTTGGACAGATTTTACTGAGATTTTTTCCGCAAATCATGCCATCCGAGGGAAATAATATAGGCTATATAAACTTCTAAAATTTCGCGTGGATGTGGAGTTATCTCATCGAAAGTAATTATACATCTGAACTAATATTCATTTTCTAAGCTTATATCTTAAGAAGGGTTACAGATTCCCACGTTAAAATTTGTCTGAGTAACTTGGTAGCAAATACGCATCATCCCTATAAAAATTGGCGTGGTACAATAGGGGAAAATGTACTCCTCACTGCATTTAATTAATCTAAATGTAGAAAATGGAAACTCTTTTGGTTGTTGACACAAAAACCGCTAAATATATTTTACTGAAATTTTTGCAGTAAGTCATGCCAACCCATGTAACTTCGAAAATTCCGCGATGACGAGGAATTATAGCGTCAACAGTAATCATACCTTTGAACTAATATTCATTTTCTATTCATATATTTGAATATCTTAAATAAATCGCCTCATACAAATTTGTATGATACGCAGATAATTACATACTAATCTTAAGGGAAGGAGAATGGGGGGGGATTCTCGATTTTATTTTTTCAAGATTTTCAATGGGCTGGTAAATCAAAACCAATAATTGTTAAGGTTTGTAACTTAACACATATATACTTGAAGATTTAAATTAGAAGAAAAATAATTTACAAAAAATTTTCGTTATTGTTTTGTTGTTGTTTTTTGTAATTAAAGAAAACTCCTTATTTTTGATGCCGAGCATGATAACTCCTCACTGAAACATCGGAATCCGAAAATTCCAACGGTGTTAGAAAGAGTACATGTCTGGCTCTTGTATGAACTAGGATTATTGACTTCGCTCTAAAATTAACAAAATGGCGGACCTTTGAAAAAATATTTTTGGAAAATCGCCGATTTTTTACCGAAAACCAAGTTATAAAATAAGAAAGATCTTTACCGATTGACTTTATCTTAGTTCATACGATAGCTATATACTCACAGAGAAACGTGTCTGCTGTTTTTCATCTCTCCATTATCTACATATTGGAATAAAATTTGCGTAAAATGAAACATTTTTGACATTCTAATTTTTACATTTTGTCAATTTGTGAAAAAAAATTAAATTTGGATTTTTTTAATTTTAAAACTTCAACTGCCATTGAAGAAAAAGACTAGGAATTCAATATGGGAGATATCCAAAAGAGAAATGCTGATTGTGGAATAAAAATTATAAAAGTCCGAAATCTGTGGTGGCTTATCATTATAGCTGATATATTTCGAGGATGTATAGAGGAAATGACTAACTCAAATGCCACAAATCCTATCTTCGGACTTGATCATGGTTTCTTAAGAATAACAATACTATATCTAGGTTCGGAAATAATATTATGATGTGATAATGCATTAGCGAATTTTTCTTGGCAATGAAACAATTAAAAATAAACAACTCAAATTTAACAAGGATCATACGTCAGGTATATATGTAAGCGATATTAATCGGAGTGAGAAAGGGATCCCAATCACATCATGGGGAAATATTTGAGAATACAGACATAAAAAATTGCTGTAATATAAATGAAGGATTTTAGTGGTCTTGGAACGATTAATGAGAAGCATGTAAATATTGGAGAAAATATGACTGATTAAAAAAGTCAAGCCAAATTTGTTTTTAATACTACTACCGTTATTCAAAGATTATTTAAAAATGTATTTGTAATCTATTGAATAGAATCAAATATACTAATACATAGACCGGCTGCTACGAAATTATTACTGATATTACACAACGAAATACCTACAAATAGTTTTCGACGTTAACTATCCAATGTTAATAACTTTAGTATGGGCAGCGAAGCGCCACGGGTTCAGCTAGTACTATAATAAAAGTAGTCTGATTTTTTAATATTTCATAAGAGGTCAAAATGACCGATTTTAGGCCATATAGGTATATCACATGTGAATACGGGGAATGAAAGAGGGGGAGAAGCAGCTAATATGATTAGTAAACGTAGTTCTGTGTTGTACAAAAAGTCACAACATTTTTAAAAGCTGTGTCATAATATACATAATTTTTTGTTTTTACTTGAAATTGAAAAAATGGTCAATATGACCGCCTTCGGCAATCTAGTGTTAAGGCATGTTGAATACGAAATAATTTATGATACATATTATAAAGTAGCAAGCAAAACATCTCCAGAAAGAATATATTTGACCACACACATTTTTGCTAATGTGCAGTAACAACAAGTAAAAACGATGTTAAGTTTGGTCGAACCGTTAGGTTGACACTCAAAATATACCCTCTGCCTCTATATATCTTTCGATTTCCACGAAATTTGGCACAGCGTAATGAATTAGGCCTAGAATGATGTGTGCTGAGTTTCATGAAAATCGGTTCAGATTTAGGTATAGCTCCCATATATATTTTCGTCCGATGTCATGTAAATGGTGCACCGAAGTCCCTATATATCTTTCGATTTGCACGGAATTTGGCACAGCGTAATGAATGAAGTATAGAATTATGTGTGCTAAGTTTCCTGAAAATCGGTTCAGATTTAAATATAGCTCCCATATATAGTTTCGTCCGATTTTATGTAAATGGTGCACCAAAGTCTCTATATATCTTTCGATTTGCACGAAATTTGGCACAGCGTAATGAATTAGGCCTAGAATGATTCGTGAAAATCGGTTCAGATTTAGATATAGCTCCCATATATAGTATCGTCCGATTTTACGTAAATGGTGCACCAAAGTCCCTATATATATCATTCGATTTGCACGAAATTTGGCAGAGCGTTCTGTATAAAATGCAGAATGATGTGTGCTGAGTTTGGTGAGAATCGGTTCAGATTTAGATATAGCTGCCATATATATTTTCGTCCGATTTAATGTAAATGGTACTACCAAAGACCATATATATTGTTCGGTTTTCAGAAAAATCTGATCGTTTTCACTAAACTAGAGTTAAGCCAAAATGCGACGTCTGTTAGGATTCATCTGTTGAATACACCCAAAGTGGTGAAGGGTATCATATAGTCGGGCCCGTTCAACTTTACTACTTTCCTTACTGGTTTTTTAATAAGAAATATATAAAACCAGTGATCGGAGCAGTATAGTCGGACGGGGCCGACCATATGATACCCTACACAACTTCCACGAAAATCTAATTTTCTGTGGTTATATATTCTTAGCATGGACAATATTTCGCAATATTTGCACCCTCTTGACCGACTATAGGTCAACAGATATAACTAATATTCAGAACAGGCCTTTTAATTACTTATCAAGATTCCCTTCACCACGGGTTTTGTTCTGATGTTTGGCTTTCAATTGTGGACTACAGATCGACTTAAAAAACTCAAACTCAATTAAGTTGTCGGTCCACTTTGTCCTAATATTATTATCTGATCATTACCGAAAATTTTAGGCGTTGTTCTCGACCATACCTGGATGGTCCTCTTGGATATACTATCAACTTCTAGGCTCTATGTCCTTCAGGAGTAAATATATACGCTATAGGATATAAAATTTGTATTTTTTCACACAAAAGTTAGGGTCCATTTGACCCGCTAAATATTGACCGATCTTTTTCAAACCAGGCATGCTTATTCTTTGGCCCGATATCCATGTAAAAATTCGCGATGTTTGGACCATAATTCTGGCCTCTAGAGCGACCAGAAAATCAGACAAAAATATAGTTTTAGTCCATTTCATCCCCTAAATATTTCCCGATCTTTACGAAAACCAATAGGGGTCTACATTGGGCCGAACCCATCCTACATGCAAAATTTCGTGAAAATTGGTCCATAACTGTGGCCTGTGTCGTGTCGTTTATGCATTCTACATTGTAAAGTTGAATTTATATGATAAAAGAAATTTTTAAAACAGTTCAGATATATTATTATCGCTTTTCTCAACTTTTTTGGTGTAAACATTAAAGAGATTACAATAGACGGATCGGAAATGAATATTTCGATAAGTTGCAAATGGAATAACCATTAATATCCCCCACGAATATAATTATCAACATGTTTGTTCATATGTGTAATGTACATACATACTGGATGTCAGTCTGCCAGTCCACCGACACACAAATATTATCTAAAACGATGTGTGAACTAAGTCATTCATCCCAATGACTATCCTTGCAATTGAACATTACTTACCGGTTAATCGATTTACGGTTCGACATGTATAACTTTTGTAAGCATCATTTGGTCCAGCATTGTTGATGTACAGTTCACCATTGGAGAGTACCGTATATTTGCCACCAATATCTGTATTGGGATACAAGTGCATTCCAGTATCTTGTATCCATGCTGTTACCATAACGAACTCGGACATGTAACTGGGTACCTGGAAATGAAAGAAACAAAATTATATAAAAATTGGCATAACAATATTAAACACACACATATATATATATATATATATATATGCATCTGTATTAGGTGGTAGAGATAAGCTCAACCTCAATGTTAGTAAAAGGCAAGAACACTTGATAATTTCATTACATCGAGAGGGGTTTTTCTGATCAAAACCAAAACAAGTCATAGAAAAGGTGAAACTAATGCGAGAAAATTTTAAGCTTTTCTGTGGCCCAGGATATATCATAGCAGTGGTTTGTTCCCACATTTTTATAATTTCACCATAAGGTGGAGTGTATAGTAAATTTGTCATTTTACACAGACATTGCTAGTAATTCTAGGATGTTCATGGGTACGTTTTCATCCGAATGACTGCAATTTGATATTTTGCGTTCTCAATGTATAGCCACCGTCCCTACTAAAAAGTTTGACTTAAGATTCGGGGTATGCACCATATAACTGAACATCCCAATATTCGGTACTTTGGGGGTATTTTACACTTTTTATAACCGAATTGACTGTAAGTATTTATTTTTGATGCGTATTGGCTATATCGAAAATTAGCTTTTTTGTACCCATATGATAGTAACCAAATATACCTTTTTTGGTAACGTTTTTCAAACGTTACGTATCAGTTTTGGCATGTTCATGGTACTAACCAAAACGAAATACCAATATTTTCGTACTTCGTTTTCTACTGACAGACCACATCTATTTGTTCTTGTCGGGTATTCATTTGACCTAATCCTACAAATTTTTACACCATCCGCCATGTTGCGTACATTCAATCTTCTTTTTTTATACCCTTCACCACACTGTGGTACAGGGTATTATATCTTTGTGCATATGTTTGTAACAGCCAAAAATAATCGAGATAGACCTATGGTTCCTTTTGAGAATATGCATAGAATCACTTTCTGAGTCGATTTATGCATGTCCGTCTGTCCGTCCGTCCATGTATTTTTGTGAGCAAAGTACAGGTCGCATTTATGATCCGAATTGGATGAAATTTTGCAAAGCCCATTGGTTTGGCCCAAGGACGAACCCTATTGAAATTGGAGAAAATCGGTTCAGATTTAGATATAGCTCCCATATATATTTTCGTCCGATTTTAGGTAAATGGTGCACCACAGTCCCTGAATATCATTAGATTTGCACGAATTTTGGCATAGCGTACTGAATTAAGTCGACAATGATGTGTGCTAAATTTTAGGAAAATCGGTTCAGATTTAGATATAGCTCCCATATATAGTTTCGCCCGATTTTAGGTAAATGGTGCACCAAAGTCCCTGAAAATCATTATATTTGTACGAATTTTGGCATAGCGTACTGAATTAAGTCGACAATGATGTGTGCTGAATTTCGGGAAAATCGTTTCAGATATAGATATAGCTCCCATATATAGTTTCGCCCGATTTTAGGTAAATGGTGCACCAAAGTCCCTATATATCTTTCGATTTGCACGAAATTCGGCATAACGTACTGAATTGAGCCTAGAATGACGTTTGCCAAGTTTCGTGAAAATCGGTCCAGATTTAGATATAGCTCTAATATATAGTTTCGTGCGATTTTTGGTAAATAGTGCACCAAAGTCCCTAAATATCATTCGATTTGCACGAAATTTGGCACAGCGCAATGAATTAGGTATAGAATTATGTGTTTTAAATTTCATGAAAATCGGTTCAGATTTAGATATAGCCCCCATATATATTTTCGTCCGATTTAAGGTAAATGGTGTTCAAAAGTCCCTATATATCTTTCGATTTGCACCACATTTGGCACAGCGTAATGAATTAGGTCTAGAATAATGTGTGTGTAGTTTCATGAAAATCGGTTCAGATTTAGATATAGCTCCAATATATATTTTCGTCCGATTTAAGGTAAATGGTGCACCAAAGTCCCTATATATCTTTCGATTTGCACGAAATTTGGCATAACGTACTGAATTGAGCCTAGAATGACGTCTGCCAAGTTTCGTGAAAATCGGTTGAGATTTAGATATAGCTCCCTTATATTGTAGATTTATTTTAAGTAATTGACGCACCAAGGACCATTATATGGCTGATAGGAACAAAACGTACTGAATTTAGTATAACCTAACCTGTGACATGTTTCGTTGAAATCGGTTCATATGTGGATATAGCTTCCATATATATTTTCGTCCGATTTTAAGTAAATTGTGCATAAAACTCCTCAGATTGACATCAAATTTTGCACAACGTACAAAATTGAGCATAGAATAACGTAGTTACGTTTTCTAGAAGTTAAGACATAGCCCAAGGGATGACCTATTGATATTTGTTTGAAGTCGAATTACATAATTTAGTCCCATTGTAACAAACGAATGTCATGCTTATGGATAGATCTAGGTCGTTTCACATTTAGATAAATATCACATATTTTATTTCATACAATTTCATGATAATAGTCCTGTTTAATATACCCATAGTGGTGAAGGGTATCATATAGTCGGCCCCGTCCGACTTTACTACATTCCTTACTGGTTTTTAATCGAGACATTTATATCGAGACAATGTCATTGTAAATCACAGACACTAAGGCTAGGAACTTTAACACAACAAAACATAAGTGGGACCTATGGCCTCAGTAGTGTTGGCGGGTTATTTGTATTTTGTTTTAGCAAAATAGTCAAGATGAATACCAGTTTATTGTTTTTATAAAAAAAAAAAAAACTATTTATTAGTGGGTAATGTATGGCATTGTCCTCCGAGCTGTAAGGCGGGGAAAACTATAGTTTGGGATCTCGCCACTAACCCTCATCAGTTCTTTTTGGTAGGAGAAATACGGACTAAGTCAAAACATGGACCTAAAGGAGTAATTTTCGTTACGGATGTATGACAGTGGGTTTGAAAATGCAGCTAAAACTCTCAAAATATCGGACATTTATGTGAGCAATGCCTATCCCTTCTGAGCGGAAATCCCAACTTAAAAACCAGTAAGGAAAGTAGTAAAGTCGGACTGGGCCGACTATATGATACCCTTCACCACTTTGGATATATTCTACAAATGTATCCTAACAGACGTCGCCTTTTCGAAGGAATACTTATTTCAGTGTGTTGTGTCAATCGTCGTAGCTATGGGTCGTTAGTGCACAATTTACATTAAATCGGACGAACATATATATGGGAGATATAACTAAATCCGAACCGATTTTCACCAAACTTGGCACATATCATTCTCGGCCTAATTTAGTACCCTATGCCAAATTTCGTGCAAATCGAAAGATATTTAGGGACTTTGGTGCGCCATTTACATAAAATCGGACGAAAATATATATGGGAACTATGTCTAAATCTGAACCGATTTTCAATAGGGTTCGTCCTTGGGCCAAATAAATGAGCTGTGCCAAATTTCATCCAAATCGAATCATAAATGCGACCTGTACTTTGTTTACAATTTAACATGGACAGACAGACGGACGGGCATGCATAAATCGACTTAGAAAGTGCTTCTAAGCATATACTCAAAAGGATCCATGTGTCTATCACGTTTCCTTTTGTCTGGTGAAGGGTATACAAATCAACACATATTTTGTGAATTTATCTAATCGAAATGTGTTGAAAATTTGTTGTACAACTGTTCATGTGTTATAATACAACAAGAATCAGTTTTAACAGAACTTTTCTTTTGCACCGAATGACCGAATTGAATTGATAATAATTGCACATAAATATGTATTTCTTTTGACATTTCCTTGAAATGTGTTCAGTCGTTAACTTACCTGACATTTTAATACAGCCGTATTGCCAGCCATCACATATTCATCGTGCACTTGAACGGTATACTTTTGATTAACAACTGGAATGGAAGAGAGATCAGGTGATTATTAAATTACTAACAGATTAATTATATATTTAAAGGTATATTAATTTAAATTGATGCACGTTCAATAATCATTGCCGTATTATTTAAATACATTGGCAGACAGGTTTTTAAAAAAATAGACATGAAGTATGTTTTGGGGAAGCGTTTGACATCGATTGGAAAATACGTCTTAAAGTTTCAACATAACGAAAATGGGGCGAAAACGGACTCTTTACATGGGGTTTCTGTCAAACATGCATTTTCAGCAAATATATGTTCACCAAGAACCGGGAACGGCAAATTACAGCCGCTGCTATTGGAAAATGCGGTTAAAAACTATTCCCTCCACCAAGTAGGTATTCAATGTACCTAAAATCTATCGGGATTTTTATATATCATAGTGCATAGCTGTCAAGAGAATGTGACATATATGAACCTATAGATACTCAGTTTAGAAAATGACATTAAGAAACATGCACTTTATGGGAAATTTTCTGCTAAGAAGCAAACTTGACATACACAATTCGGTATGCTACAAAACTTCACGCTGCCTAAAATTGTATCTTAATTGCACATCACGCTTGTCGTGCATAATTTATGTGAAATCAGACTACAATATTTAAATCTTAAGCGAATTAAACGAAACCTAATAAACTTGGTTGTAGGCTCAATTAGCTATACCGTGCACAATTTTAAACTTTGAGTATTCGGTATCAAATCATCCAACCGAAAATTATCAATATTTGGCCACGGTACCCCCATTGTACTGCATTTTAGCGGTTGATACACGTATTTTCAACAAGTCTTCTGTAATTTTGTTTTATAGATACACGTTGGGTATCTGCCTACGAACTATTATCAATATTCGTTCATGACTCGATATAGGCCCCATAAAACGATACCCCCAAGATTGGGTATTTTGGGTAGCTTAATTTGTGGGCAATTTAATACTTTCCGTTCTCATTGATAAGAACATTTCCCTATCAAATATTATCATCATTGGACCATATTTCCGGATAGCTGCCATTTAATTATAACCCCAATTTTCCTTTTTTTTTGGTTGGGGGAGGTTTTAGTCATGTTTTACAACATTCGGTATTTTGGGGAGATTGGACACATGCTTGAACCAAATCTACGTACCAAAAATGATCAAATATGTAATGATACACCCGTAGGAGTGGTGTATTGTTTTTCAACCGTCACGACCCATTTTCTAACCAATGGGGATATATATGGGCAATATTGCCAATTTTTTAATATTCACCACTTTCAAATCCACTTTCAAAAAATCGGCTTTTTAGTTTTCGTGGTACATCAATGATTTTTGGTAGACATTTGGAGAAAAATGTCCTGACTTCGAATCCGTTCGCTATAAAATTTTTGGTTGATGCGCGCAAAACTTATCGAGGTTTTTATTTTCGACATTAGAAAACAATCTTAAAATTACGCGGTTTATTAATTTGGGGTAATTCTTCAATGTTTCCCGAATTTCGCGGAAACATTGACATATATAAAAACCAGTGAGCGAAGCAGTATAGTCGGACGGGGTCGACCACACGATACCCTACACAACTACACAACATGTAACTCTAAGATTCTGCGGATTTTTATTCCGAGCCTGGGCAATATTTCTTAATATGTGCACCATCTTTTCCGATTAGAGTTCAACAGCACCACTTGCTTACAATGACATATTTTCCGAATATTACTAATATTCAGTACAGACACCCCCCTAATTACTTGTCCAGATTACCTTCACTGTGGGTTGTATGGTGATTTTCGGCTTATAACTGTGGCCTATAGATCAACTCGAAAAAAACACAAACAACTAAGTTTTCGGTCCAATTCATTCCAAAATTATTATCTGATCATCACAAAAAATTATAGGCGTTGTCCTTGACCATAACTGGATCTTCATGAAAAATTTCCAAATTTACTAAATAATATCTGAATACATAAGCACCTGTAAATATTTACGTGTAACTCCCACATCCGAGTACATACCACAATATAATTGGTATCAATTTCAAGGTCAACCACTTCTCTTGGATATACTATCCACTTCCCGGCTCTATGTCCTTCAGGAGTAAATATATACGCCATAGAATAATAATTTTGTCATTTTTCATACAAAAGTCAGGGTCCATTTGACCCGCTAAATATTGACCGATCTTTATTAAAACAGGTATGTTTATTCTTTGGCCAAATCCCCTTCTCCATGTAAAAATTCGAGATGTTTGGGCCATAATTGCGGCCTCTGGAGCGACCAGAAAAATCGACAAAAATTAAGTATTTGGTCCATTTTATCCCCTAAATATTATCCGATCTTTACCAAATGATCGGTCCATAACTGTGGCCTGTATCGTGTTTACAAAATATAATGGATAGACGGACGGACACACATGTCTAGATCGACTCAGCTAGTCGAGATATGACGATCGGTATAATTAAAGGGGGGTCTAGGGCCAATATTTCGCGGCGTTACAAACTCTTGGGGCTGCACAAAGCTATAATACCTTGACAGCATGGTTGTGTAGGGTATAATAAGCACTTCTTGTGTATAAGTATACACCTTGCGGATTGTAGCAAGGCCCTTCCGATAAATTTTGGGGTTCTATAAGTAGGAATAAATCTTAAAATAAAACTATATTATGAAATATACATTTTAAATTGCGTTTAAATCACGTAATTCTCAAAATCATTTGATGCGCATGCGGTTTCCAGGAAGTACAATGTTTATCTTCCAATTCATGCCAACAACATGTTGCATTGAAGTACCCAAAATCTCGTAAAACGCGAATAATTTCCGAAACCTCCATATGCCATTAACGCGCATCCGATTTCGGTGTGCACCCTAAAAAATTACATCGATCTATATACATTTCAATGCGGTCCATTAAGAACCATGGATGACCCAGCTCACTCTATTTTTGAGACAAATTGAGTACATCTGTCTTTCGGCTGATGTTTTTAAAGTTCTGTTTTCACAAAAGTTCAAAATCCGTGTCAGGTCATTTATTGACGTGGAAGTGATCCACAGAAAATAAAATTAAATCCGCAAAATTTTCAAAAAACATATTTTGCCCAATTTCGTGTTTTTGGAAGGCCAGTTTCCTCCGTACTAGTAGATGGATTTTCACGAAGAAGATTTTATATCACCCGAAACGTAAAAACCCTTACTGATCGCGGGTACCCATATCACTCAAGTGACAGATCTGAAAATTTGGCCCGGAAAATAGGTTTTTTAGAAATTTGATCTCACAAAATTTCCATTTTCGGATGAGTATTACTCTGAAGCTGTGCATAATACATACACAAAATATATATAAAATTACTCAGATTCGCGACTACAATAATCTTATAATCGATTTTTAGAAATTCCTGTTTGCGTATTAAAGCTAGAAGTAAAATTAAAAAACACTCAAAATCGAGCTTCAAAATGTCAGCATCATTTAAAGGTAGATGCAGTTAAAATTTCGAAAAATGATACATAAGGGGCGTAGTCCCCATTTTGTTGGCTTCTAGTTTTACTTTGACACGCAGACCGTGAGATGAGTAGCTTAATCACAAATCGATAGAGAACATAAAAAAATGGTTCGCCTCAACCAGATTTTACACATTTTTTTACATTAAAATAGACACAGCTTCTACCAAAATAAAGTTTAGAGGTCAATATCATGAACAGTTTGCAACGACAGATCCATTAACCCAAAACTATTCACTTCTTTTTCATATACTTAAGTAATTTCCGAGTTATAATGGGGTGAACCTCCGCTTCAGCTATGTTAAAAAATTGGCAATATTGCCCATATATATACCTAAGTCTGTTTTTACACGGTCTTTTTGTACACGGTTTTGATATAACACGGTTTGAAAATTGAATATTTTTAATTTTTTACACGATTTTATTCCATTTAGCACGATTTGAAATTTTATGTACTTAAATTTTTTTGTCAAATTTAATTTTTGCGAAGTACGTTCATATCACAAAAACGTATTTATGAAAGAAAAAAGTCTGAAAACATTGATAGTATTGATAGTTTGCGAACACTAGCTTAAAGATTTAAGTGAATTCCCCTTTCGCGCGTACAAACAATTTTTACTGGTCACGGCTTTTTTACACGGCTTCTTTTGGAACCAATCTACCGTGTAAAAACCGACTTAGGTATATATATATATATATGGCTATTATAATTTTCTACATCACCGTCTGTCTACAGACCATTTGTTATTCCATTTATTTTCAAATATTGTTGTCTTACCATTTATCTGTCTTCACTTCATCGTTGTCTTCTTCTTACTCTCCTTAAATCCTCTAATTAATTAAAAAGAAGAAACCCAGTCCGAAAGATGGCAAAGCTTGTTGGTATCACGCCGCGAGTGTAAGGATAACAATTTTGTTTGTTGGGTCAAAAAAAAAAAAAAATGGTGTGAAAAGAAGTTTAATTTCCAACGAGAGGATGTGGCATTGCGTGTTTTTGGGCCTATTCAGTACATTTGCTTTTGTTGTGAAATTGCGTAGATACGGAAGAAGTAGAATTAAAAACGAACCAGCGCACACTTACATACAAACACATTGACAACAAATTGTTAAAGAATGAATTAAAATGTATTGTGAAAAGTTTTTAATTGAAGAAAGTATATGGCGATGTTGTCCTTGTTGTTGTGTTCTTTTTTCACTACATTTTTTCGACATCTCGTTGAACGGAAGACAGTTTATATTGTTGGTTTTTTAAAAGTTAAACGTTTTGTTTAAAAGATGTCATGCAAAGTTTAAAATTGCGTACCATAGCCGTACTCTGTTCGTGTATGATTGTGTGCATGTAAAAAGAAATATATTGATTGGTATCTTGGGATAATAATTAAACGTTTCCCGGGATTTGCTGTGGCAGGAATTTTCAAACATTAAAAAAATAATATTAATTGAGCGCAGCCAGTAAGAAAAGCTCTGTAATATGTACAGTTATGGAAGATTGAAAAAAAAACTTTTGCGA